GGCTGCCCCATCCCTGGAAGTGTCCAAGGCCAGGTTGGATGGGGCTTGGAGCAACTTGGTCCAGTGGAAGGTGTCCTTGCCCAGGGCAGGGAGTGGAACTGGATGATGTTTAAGACTCCTTCCAACCCAAACCATTCCATGATTCTATGAGTCTACGCTTGGGAAAGCAACCCAAAACCAACAGTCACATACTGTGAGAGCCAGGCACCTGGGACACTCCTTTCCCCATTAAATAACCCCATTTTTACACACCTGAAGAGCGGGGGGAAGGTGTCCTCTGCCAGCTGGCTTCTTCAAACCAGTGGGACTGTTTTAGCCAGTGAGTCAGAAGGAGCATTTTCTGGGGCTGCAGAGCCAGCAGCTGTCCCAGCAGGGGCAGAACCCCCAGCAGAAAGATGAGAGCAGTAAATGCAGCTCAGAGCTCATCCAGCACAGCCAGCTTGCCTGCCTGCCAGCTGCCCAGTCCAGGAGGACAGACAAAAAGTGGTAAGGAACAGAATATGCCCCTGAGAGCAGGGGGGGGGAACACAGGACCCCCCCAGAGGTGAAACAGCCAGGCAGCCAAAATGCTGATGCAGAGTTATGGCACAGGTAATAACAAACCTGCAACAAACCCTCCAACAACCTCTTCAGGGCCTGAGAGGAGTCCAACCAAAGAGCTTCCCTTCAGGACAGACACTGACTCAGCTCAGGGGAAACCTCTCCAGGCTTGCACCCTCCTTTCACAGCAAGAGGATTTCCCCCACTCCTTGGATCCAGGGTGGAGAACACGATATCTCTCTTTAATTAGTGTAACTAGAAAGTTAAAACGTTCCTGCAATTCTCCAAAGCCTTTCCAAGGGGTGAGCGTTGAGGGCACGGCAGAACTGCCTCGTGCATTAGGGCTCCCTTCCCCTTCATACATTGTGAAAGATTAATTTTGTGGGTTATGATTCCAGCTAACGAAGCACAGCTGGAGTTTGAGTCAATAAACCCTCCGTCCCCCCAGACAATTGAGCTCCCACCCGGCCGCTCCTGCGTCAGCCCAGCCCTCCGTCACTCACCACTTCACCCTCCCAGGGTCTTTTGACACCATTAATTGCTTTCATTGCCTCTCAAAGTATTGTCTGGGTGGGGGGTTGCTTTGTTTTTAAAAAATCACAGACAGGCATATTTCCTTTCCCCGGGAAAAAAAATCAGATGGGGGACCAGCACGCTATTTAAAGTCACCCACTATCCAGAGATTGAACTGCAATTAAAAAAAAAAATAAATAAAAACCACAACAACCTGGGGACAGCAGCAGGTTACCCGAGTGGAGAAGCCTGGAAGCCCCATCGTTCTTGCCATGAAAGGCAAGGACCGTCGGAAAGATGGAAAAGAAAACAGAGGGGATGTTTCTTCCCTTCCAGAGAGCTGGGGGGGAAATTCCGCTCCGGGTGGCTAAACAAGGTCAGCGGAGTTACAAAATAAAATCTCTCTTCCCCCCCCCACCCATCCAACCCCCTCGTGGCTCTCCCCTGGAGCCCCGTCCTCCCAGCCACGAATTCCAAAATCCGAAGTGTTGCATAAGAGCCCTGGGAGAGCTCGCAGATGGAATGACGGGCGGAGAGCATGGGACTTGGGGGAGAGACAGGAAG